TTCAGAGTTATTTCTTCACACTCTATCACTATAATGTTTTTGTATCGGGGGGATACTCCCAATGGGGAGGGCTCGGAGACCGAAGGGGGGCGAGGGTCTCGGCAAATTTTCTAGCCCCAGTTTTTTTGTCCTTCCTCAAACACACCCCCCGCCGGGGGGGGTGGGGGAGGGGGAGGGTGGCGGAGGGGGCTGAGTGTATGGACTCACTATGATACGGGCATGGGCATGGAAATGGGCATGGGCATTGGTATGGGTGCTGGTATGGGCGTGGATGCTGGTGCGGTGTCTGTATGTATGTATGTCTGGCTGTCTGGCTGTCTGTATGTTTGTCTGTGTGGGTATGGTCATGGTCGTGGCAATGGCCATGCTACTGGCGCTACTCCCCCGCTGCTGCTTGGTCATCGTGTTGCTGCGGCGTCTCCTGTGTCCTCCGTCATGGCCGCTACTCTTCCGCAATCGACCACCGATACCGGGTTCGACTGGTGCTGATGCATGCATGCTGTGGGCTGTCGGCTGTCGGCTGGGGATGCGCTGGGGGTGTGCGCGGGGAGGCGAGGACCGCAGATGAACGAGGCAGAGTTTGCAGACATCGTCAACACGATCAACATGTACTTTGCTCAGGCTGAAGAGCTGTCGCTGGCCCTCGTTGCTGAGGGCTGCTGCTCCTTCCTCACCCTCTTCACCCTCAACTGTTGTATGCCCACAAGGTATGAACGCCGCATGAACGAGCTTCAGGAGTACCTCGACGACATCAACGGCAACCAGTTCCGCTCCAGAGGCATCTTCTGGTCGCATCCGCGCTCCGCCGCCTACCGCCACGTTGTCGTCACTGTCGACTCGCTGCGGGACGCCCCGTCGTCGACACGCACCTCGCGCCGCAGAGCCGGAGACGACGAAGGCCTCTCGTCGGACGAGACCCGCGCTTGAGCGCACACAGTAACACTCTAGTCACCATCTGCCGTGCGCAGGCACGTAGCGGCGGCCGCTTTACCGCGTCCACAGCGGCGTGGCATCATGTATCCGAGCCGTGAGAGGAGAGCGAGAACGAGCGTGCGGCCTCAAGCCCGACATAGGCGGCGAGCTCGGACGGTGTGACGGCAGTGGCATCATCGTACAGCGGCTCACCGCGGTTGATCGACTGGGCGTGGCGGTGCGCATTGACGCAGCAGAAGGAGATGACCTTGGGGTGGGCCCCGTAGACTGGGTGCAGGATGACGTACTTGAGGTAGGCCTCGAGGGCGGCTTGGCGCTCGCGGACGAGGCTCGGCGCCATCTTGCCAAACATCTTGGACGGCGGAAAGGCGTTGAGGAACGGGTTAGTGGCCGTCTTGTTGTATGCTGCTGTCAGCGCGGTGTTGAGCGCCTTGAACTCGGAGAACCGGCGGCGGACGCCGTAGGCAATCGCGCCCGGTCCGTTCAGCCGCACCACCACGTTGTACAGGGTGTGGTTGCTGGCGTCGACAGTCGTCGGGATGGAGACGACCGCAATCGGCGGATCGCAGTCCGGCACGTCGAAGAAGGAAAGCACCTCGTCCGTCGCCGCTAGCCCAGGCGCCGCCATCATCAGCTGCACATACCGTGCCAGCGCCCGTGCCCGCACGCCGACCTTGGGCGACAGCGCCTTGGGTGGAAGCATTTGCAGCAAGTCACCCGTCCCGCCCTCACTGTCGAGGCCGCCGACAGTCACCGCGCCGTACTTGGCCTTGAGCTCCTCATTAAGCGCGTAGAACGCCGAGTACCTCCGCTCGCAGATCCACACCTCGGTCCCGAAACGGACGCGAATGAGGTAGATCTGTCGCCGTGTCCGTGCCGATGCCGATGCCCCGTGTCCCCGTCCAGCCCATCGCCCCCCCCCC